CCCAATCCTTTTAGTCTGCGTGGATCTAAAAAAAAAAAACCCTATGTTTTATCAGATACTTATTTTTGAGTTTCCTTGTTTTGAAAGATTTTTGTTGTAAGTTCTATTGCACATTTCATTACTTGGGATAGCCTGTAGTTAATTCCATATGCTGGGGAATATTTTTTTTGTCATTTTAAAAAATTTGACTTCTACAGATTACAGCTAATGAGCTCATGTAAATATGTAACTTATAAAGCCCAAGTAATTAAAATGACTTTACAGCCAGGAGCAGTAATTACCAAACATTATATGATTACCTACACTGTCTGGGATGCTGTGAGAAGGAATTAAGGCAAATAATGTATATTTGGTCTCTAAGGACAGGCTCTCTGTGTGAAGAGCTAAGGGGTGCCACATGTCCTAGAAATTAAAAAAAATGATTTTACAATGTGGACATCTGAGAAAGATAATACCTCTCAGTTACAGTTAATAGTTAATAATTCAGTAAAATATTTTTTTTTCCTATGATATCTCAGGTTTGCTGGGAATTTATATGAATTTATATGTCTTTTAAGAGGTGTTTAAAAAAGAAAAAAAAAAACCCAAAACATTACTCAAAGAAACCACTGGCTGTTAGTGCTGGTCATGTCAGCCGTGAGCCCTGCTGCTTGGGCTGCTGTGCCAGTCCGCAGCTCCGTTCCTCCTCCAGTACATCTCTGTTTCTCTGTCTTGATCGGAGTCACTGCCCGCCTGGCATCCCATGAATACACAATGACCCAAGCACAGCTTCTCTTTCTGTTTCTCCTGCCTTTTTCTTATCGCCGCTTATTTCGTGAAAGCAAACGATGTCAACTTGTGCAGGTGATTTTAGAAACTAACTGTGGCAGCTTGAAAAGTCAATTTGAAACAACTTTCCTTTTCACACTGAAAATTTTAAGAGGAATTCTGGAATCAGTTAAACTATGCAGTTAACAAAAGCAGCCCAGAGTTGACCTCAGGTTAGAGAGACAGAGCGTATGTGGCATAACAAATAATGTTAACGCTCTCCTCAGGTACTCAGGGCCTGAAAAACAAAACAAAATAAACCACCAAATGTGTTTTATTTCAGGAAAATGAAAGGTGTTCATTAACATTTAAATGCAGGAGGGCTGGTGCGATGGTTCAACTGGCCAATCCTCTGCCTTGTGGCTCTGCCAGCATCCCATATGGGAGTCAGTTTGTTTCCTGGATGCTCTGCTTCTGAATCAGCTCCCTACTTATGGTCTGGACAAAGAGCGGAGGATGGCTAAGGTCCATGGGATCCTACATGCAACATGGGAGGTCCAGCAGCAGTTCCCAGATCCTGGTTTGGGATCAACTCACCTCTGGCAATTATGGTCAGTTAGGGAGAGAAGCAGCGGATGGATCTTTTTTCTCTGTTTCTTTCTGTAAATCCACCTTTCTGATAAAAATAGATATATTTTGGTTCTGCTGCAATGGCTCAATGGCTGTATCCTCACCTTGTAAGCACTGGGTTCCCATATAAATGCGGGTTCATATTCCGCTGCTCCGCTTCCCATCTAGCTCCCTGCTTGTGGCCTGGGAAAGCAGTAAAGGGTGACCCAAAGCCTTGGGACCCTGCACCCGAATGAAAGATCCAGAAGAGTCTTCTGGCTCCTGGCTTCAGATTGGCTCAACTCTGGCCATTGTGCCCACTTACGGAGTGAATCAGAAGATCTTTCTCTGTGTCTCTGCTTCTGTGTAAATCTGATCTACCTTTCCAATAAGTAAATCTTGAAAAATAGAAATGTTTAAAATGTTTTAATTCAAGAGCAAACATTCGTCTTAGAGAGTGAAATGGTGCCTGGAATGCAAACATCTCATATGGAGTGCCAAGGATGAATCCCTGCTTTCTTCCCAATGCCAGTTTCTAGCTGATGTACACCCTGGGGAATGACAGGAAATGGCTTATCTCTCTATAAACTCTCATTCTTTACCCACATACCAAGCACTTAGCATTTTTGCAGTTGTAGTAAAATACACCTAATACTGAGGTTTCCGTGTATTAGCATTTTAAAGGTGCAGTTCAGTGTCATAAAGGTATTTAACCACACCATGAATCTCTAGAACTCTTCGTCTTTCAAAATGGAAACTCTGTGCCCATTAAATAATTAACTCCTTATTCCTGCCTTGGCAGTTCTTGGAAACCACTGTCCTGCTTGCTATCTCTACAGCTTTGACTGCCATTGATACTGCATATATGTAATCACACAGTAGTATCTTCATGATGCCCTTATTTTCTTAGCATAAAGTCCTTAATATTCATACACGTTGGAGCGTCGTCAGCATTTCCTTCCTACAGAAGGCTATGTAACATTCTTTTGTAAAGGTGGACCACATTTTGGGTTTGTCTGCTGTCACTGAAGTTGTTCCCATCTTTTGACTCTTGTGTGTAATACAGAGGTGGACAAGTCTCGGTTAGGTCCTTGCTTTCAATTCTTTTGGGTGGGAGTAGTATCTCATGATTTGTGTTTTGATTTACCTTTCCCTAGTAACTAACGATGTCAAGGGTCTTTTCATGCATTTATTTACCATTTATATATCTTTTGGAGGGAAATATCTAAGTTCTTTGCCACTTTTTTCTAAAGATTTATTTATTTTTATTGGAAAGTCAGGTATGCAGAGAGGAGGAGAGATAGAGAGGAAGATCTTCCATCGCCTGATTTACTCCCCCAAGTGGCTGCAATGGCCAGAGCTGAGCTAATCCAAAGCCAGGAGCCAGGGTCTCCCACATGGGTGCAGGGTCCCAAGGCTTTGGACCCTCTTGCACTGCTTTCCCAGACAAATTAGGCTTTCCAGTGTTGTAGTTTTTTCCATATTCTGGTTACTAACATATTATGAGAGATAAGATTTACAAATAATGGCTCACTTTGCATGGGTTATCTTTTTATTTCTTGTACCCTTTACAAAAAGAAGTTTTTAATATTGTAGTCAAACTTGTCTTTTTTCTTTTGATGCCTGTGCTTTTGGTATTATACCCAAGAAATTGTTACCAAATCCAATGTAGTGAGTCATTCTAATAATTTTATAGTTTTTCCTCGCATTCAGGTCTTTAATTTTGGGTTAAGGTTTGCTTAAGTTTTGCCTTAAGCTCCAACACATTTCTTTTTCATGTAACTACCCAGTTCTCTGGGCATCATTTTTTAAATAGATTGACCTTGGTCGCATTGAAGAGTTTTGGTAGCCTTGTAAAGCTCTTTCTTCCAGGCTGAACATTGAGTGTTTGAACTGTAAATCTTGAGCCTGTCTCACTTTTGGGAACCACTGTCAAAGCTACTTTCTAAATGCTTCGTTTTAAGGGTGTCTCTGCCTGAAACAACATCCACTAAAAATAGTTTCTCTTTCTGTGTGTGTGTGTGTGTGTGTGTGTGTGTGTGTGTGTGTGTTTCCAGACTCCTAGCTCTTTATTGCACTTATTGCATTTGACACCTTCCACTTGAAGTTGTTAAGGCTTTGTGTCTGTCTTTTTAATTTAATGAGATAAAAAGCTCTGGATGCCTGAACTCTAATGAATACTGTGAAACAGACAGAAAAATCTCTTGCAAAAGGAAAGTCCTCTAGTGACTGACTTCACAAAGCCTTTTGTGTGGCATAATCAAAGGTTATGCAGTGTTTGGGGACAGAGCATGTGTTGAATCCAATTAAGTCGAAGAAAGATGCTACTTAATTTTTATAGTAGTTAAAAAAGATTTGCGTAAAATGATGAATTCTCCTCTTATGAGATCTAATCGTTATATGCATGGTGCATAGAATTGTGTTGGGTTGTTTTCTAAATTGCCAATAATTCACTGGGGCTTATAGCCATATCTTGGTTGTGCTGACAGATACTGGAGGAACAGGCTCAAATTCATAATCATTATTTTCATTTCATTGAGGTCTGGATATCTTTGCCCTGGCTACAGCTACTGGACATGCAATTTCACAAAAGACTAAGAGACAAGAGGTGCCATTCATAGTTATAGTTCCAAAAGTGGAGTGCAGAGGTCCTTTTGTGAATGATCAGTTATTTAGCAAAACTGGAGAAGGCTCATTGAAATAATTGCAGATACAACCACTGCTGTTTCCATAGAAACAGCCCATTTCATGTGGAAAGGTTCAGGACTCCTGTTTATATTCCTCCTGGGGAGATATATTTGGAAATTGGCTCTTTCCTCCATGTCCCGGAGTGCTGATTGAGGGAGCATCCTCTTTGGCAGACAGGCTAACTCCAGCTCTGTGGTCTGGCCACTCTGCAGTCTCATTACTGGTCCTACTCAGTTCCATTGCAGTCACAGAAAGAGAACCTGCTTTCCTTTAAAACCAAATGAACCAGCCTAACCTCCAATGCGGAGTGTGAGATATCAAAACTTTTGATTATAAAATGTTAGGCCCTCAAAATCGAAGTAGTAATTTTTCTTACTAAAATGTTAATCTTTACCCAGTTACTGGCTTTTAATTCTTACAACTGGTAGATTGGGCGCCTCTCAAATTATAACGATGCCAAGCAGAATTTCTTGTTTGTCTTTGATGTATGAATTCAGCAGAGCTTCACTTTTAGTTGATTTGTTTAGAATGAAAGCTGGACAACCTTGTGATAAATAAAGGACTACATCATTGATTTTGCTTATCTCTTGTGTTGGCTTTATGGCAGAAGTTTAACATTAAATTACTTGAGCAATGTCTTATATTTTATCTCACAACTTTGCAATAAAATCAGTTTAATGTTATCAGATATCTTTCTAGCCATCTATCACTGGCAACTTGCAATTGTGTAAGTCTTATTTTCCTGGAATGTAATAATTCCAGGTAGGAAAAGCTGAGCTTTTGAGGCTTTAAAAAGTCAGGCAAGATTTGAATGAGCTAGAAGATGAATTCCAAAGAAACATGCACTAGTAGATGTTTCCAGCAAACCCTTGAAATGTTAGTACGTGAATCATTGGACGATCAGTAGTACTTTCTTCAATCTCAGAGTATTAACATGTATGTATTTTTCTCCACAGTAAAACCGACCGTAATTGATGTTGACATTTATGTTAACAGCATTGGTCCTGTGTCATCAATAAACATGGTAAGAAACTATTTTATTATCTGCTCTGATGGATTAGTGTGCTTCCTTTTGCTTACATTTTCCATGTGGATTTCTTTCTGAAATTTGTCATGCAGATGTAAAAGTCATCATTGACTTCTTAAATATGCTGCACTTATTAGTAGTTTAGATATTACAAAAGGCCAAAAAAAAAATTCATGAAGCAGAGCTTGTGATGGTAGCAGAAAGATGTTGCTCAATTAACAAGTGTCCCTCCCCACAATTCATCTTCTCAACACATGGAATCATAATACATAGGTTTTCAAATGAAATTGTTTGCAATTATGTGGTCCTTAGTTGTATCAGAGCTCATCGAGGTGAACAAATGAGCATGAAAAGAATGAAGGGGAGAGCACCTCCTGGGACCGAGTGCCAATAGGATTTCAGGAAGTGTCTTGGGTTCTTAAGGGCTTTCTGATTTCTCCTTGTTAGGAACCTGTCGAAGACCTTCCTGATTGGTAATCACTAATCAGTTATTAAATGGCTGGGAAATTCCTCTGTTGCCCCTTGAAGGTGTTACTTTTCTGGCCACCTGGTGAGACAAACAGGTGACTCTCCCTTCTCAAGAGTGTCTGGTTTCTCAGGATTTAAACAGTATCCTGTTCCCAGTACTCAGGGTGCCTGCCAACATTGGGGCAGTGAGATGGTGGACAGGAAGAATGTCCTCACAGGGTTTGCCCCTGGACCTCACACAAGATTTTGGCGAGCTTGGACCATCTTACTTTCCTGTGCTTTCAGTGTTCAACAGGAAAGGATTCAAGATCACACAGTTTGCATTTTATCTGAATTGTGCACACTGGATAAATAAAATGCCATTTGTTACAGGAGAAGGTATGGTATAAAACATGTAGTTTGCCTGTACATGTACAGTGTTTCCATTGTAAGCAAATTGAGTTCGAGAACTTTTTAAGGTAAAAGATATTCTGTATTTTTTAAAAAGTGTGTATCTTATAAGCAGGCATTCTTCTTGTCTTGGTCTGCAAGGCATGGTAACCCACCAAGCCGTGAGTAGGACTCGCCAGCAGGCCTTGCATTGCAGTTGCCTGGGCAGGAGCACCTGCACTCTTGGGTCTTCCCTATGCTGCCGTTTTATTTCTGGATTTGAGGAACATGTGAAACTGAGGGTAGGGAATTGACAAAAGCTGATTTCTTATGTGTCTTCTTCCCATTGCAATGTTCTGTGTATAGAAATAACCCATCCAAAGTTAGCAAAATCATTTCCTTTCATTGCCAGATTTTCAAAGCATTCTTCCCTTCTTTTGTGACATAAGGGCTCTATGTATGGCAAAATTGTATTTATGGATAACTAACTTTGAAAAAAAAAACCTCTATGTCCTCCATAAACTGGAGCAAAGAGGTAAGATGTATAAAAGATAATTATATCACACAACATGTGGTACAGATCATTGTGTGTTAAAGTCAAATTATGTGTTGTTTGTTTTTTGGTAACTATTCAGGTGACTACACAGAATAATTATTTCTTAGTGCGTTTTCTTTGCTTACATTTGTTCTATAATATTATGCAGTACCTTTGTGTATATTACTAATTTAACGCCAAAAGAAAAATAGTCTCCATTGTATATGGGTGGTAGGGGATACTAAAAACGTTTGTGGAAAATGCACGGTATCATTTAATTCTGTTTTCCCACAAGGTTTTTCAAGCCCCCTCACATAGCTACACAATTATTTTCAGAACAGTTTCTTCTATTTATGTATAAAGGAATTTGTATGAGCTTGTAAAACTTAAGAGATCTAATTTGTGCTTAGTATTCAGCTTTGCTATTGGAATTTGAGAATTTGTGTATTGAAGTCACAAGCTGAAGAGGAAGCTGAGGAAGTGATTCACCCCAGATCATCGAGCCACTGCTTAAGGCACTCTTCTTGGCAATGTTGGCAGGGCTGGAGTGGCGTTGTTTCAATCTGAAACCCAGTTTCTGGACAGTAGGTTGTGAGGTGTGACCATGTGGGAAGGGCCCTCTTGTACCATGTCTGGGGAGTGGTATTCCCAGTAGCATATTTTATGTGCAGGACAGGGCCGCCAGCCCTGAGGCTTTGGTGACAAAGGAAACTCATTTTTTAGATTGGTCTAAAAGAGATTCTTGTATTTGCAAAACATGAAAAGCATTTCCTTTTGAAATATGTGTAGGGCCTATTTTTTGAGGTTGATTCCAATCTTGTTTGCTCTCCAGTCAGGCTCATCCATTTAAAGAAAAGAAATAGCTGCTCTTTAACTGAGAATGGAGTTACATTTTATAACTGAGGATATGCCATTTGTAAAACATGGTGCAATATACCTAACTTACCAAATAACATAGCTTAGACCTCTTAACCAACAGTGCTCAGAACTTGTTTAGCAGTCTTCAAGTGTGCAAAATCATCTGGAATATATTCTAGAATATAGGATTGAATAGGTCATGCAATTTTCTGAAAGGAAAGAACAGAATGGTTGCATGGATTCTCTTTTACACCGCTGTCAAGTTAGAAAATTGTTGAGTCAAGCACCGCAAACCAGGACTGTCTGTAGTTGATCACACAGCACTGACATTTGTGTTCTAAAATCATGGACTCTGACTTCTCTGTCTAGGGGTAAGGAGTTACTGTAATGACCTGAAGCCGTCTAGGGCTCCATCACCAAACAAAATACCAGAGCTTCCCTGTGAGATACATCCAGAGAGAGACAGCAAGTTACTCTTGTTAGGTTTTTAAAATTGGAGCAGAAATGTTTGAATTAACTTTTTCATTTTTTAAAGGTTTATTTGTTTTTATTGCAAAGTGAGATATACAGAGAGAAGGAGAGACAGAGAGGAAGATCTTCTGTACGATGATTTACTCACCAAGTGGCCACAATGGCTGGAGCTCAGTCAATCTGTAGCCAGGAACCTGGAATTTCATCTGGGTCTTCCATGCAGGTTCAGGGGCCCAAGGCTCTGGGCCATCCTCGACTGCTTTTCCAAGGCACAACCATGGAGCTGCATGGCAAGCGGGGCCTCGGGGATTAGAGCTGGTGCCCATATGGGGTGTAGGTATGTGCAAGGTGAGGACTTTAACCAGTAGACTACTGTGCTGGGTCCAACTTTCTCGTTTTTAACAAAGAGTTTTCAGTCCTTCAAGTTACATTTAGTCCAGATTTTTTTCTTCCTGGAATGTATCTCTACTATCATATAAGGTGGACCGATGCCTGTGGTCATAGTGCTTTGTGAAGTACTACAACCATCTAGATAACAGTGGACAAGCTGAATGACTGCCAGTGCTTTCATCTAGAGGTGGTGGAATATTCGTTGTCCTCAACGAATGAATGATAGAGGATAGGCACATATTTGTTTCAATATCAGATAATCCCACACAAACACATGCACTCATTTATCAACCATTATCCTGAAAGTCTTTGTGCTCCCTCTACTCATCTCCCACACCCCTCTTACTCCTGGAAGCCACAGATGTTTCTACTATATCCACAGTTTCGCCTTTTCCAGAGTTTCATGTAGGTGGAATGATACAGTATGAAGGTTTTTCATATTGGCCACCTTATTTTTACAAACATTGATACTGATTCACTAGAAGAAATCTAAGAAATGAGTCACCATGAAGTGACTATAATGTGTTACCCAGAAATTAACAGGGCATTGGAGAGATCGTAGACAGAGGTTCAACCTCTCAGAATATGATGCATTATATGATATTATGAACTGGTAGGGTGACTTAACAGCCAGCAGGGGCTGTGCAGGAAAACATGAGAAATACCTACCTAATACCTGCTCCTGTGGCTGGTGCTTCAAGAAGTAACAGCAAGCAGCTGTATCCTGATTAAAGTCTATAGAAGACAAGCTCCTTTCTAGAAAGGTTGGTCATTGCTGCAAGGTGATTCATTGTACCCCAGAATTTTCTGAGGCTGTCAGGGAACTCAGGAGACTCAGCAAACTCAGGGGAACCCCAAAGTAATAATGTCCATAATGACATGTGCCACCTTTTCTGCTTTTCTTTACATTTATCATTCAGAGCAGTTTTTGGGTCTGTAGTTTGATTCTTTTCATCACTATTTAATATATGTGGGCCATTATGTCTTAAAAAAACATTGCTTCAGCACCATTTTCTCTTATTGCATTCTAGGACTCGAGTCACATGAAAGCTGTTTATTTCTTCCATATTTCACCTGTGTGTGGATGATTTTTTTTCTTTTTTTTTTTTGTCTCCAATATTTGGTAAGGCACTAAGTCACTCCTTATATCTCTCCAGTGACTTGTGAAAGCCATTAATTCAATTCTTAATTTCACTGACTATATTCTTTCTAATAGATGTCAGTTCTCTGGAAAGATTTTCCACCCTGAATACTAGTTTTCTTGAGCACAATTAGTCATTAAACCCACATTAGATAACTATAATACCTTGACCAGTATGTTTTTTCATAGTATCTTTTTTTCAAAGAAAAATTTCATTTATTATTCAAGTTTATACAGATGCGTGGAGATATATCACCAGTTAGGAACTTAGTTAGATAATGAAGTAAAAATGCTTCAATCCTTCTAGCTACATCTTCTATCTATTCTCTGGCGTTACTTAATTTCTTTATGGTAAAATTAAGCAGAAAATACCATCAGAGTCTGAGGCATTCAGCAGCAAAACCACAACCTGGTATAAAGTTCTCCTAAATAATAGAAGGATAAAGGCTCAAGACTCACAAATCTTTTGTTCTGTTTCTGTTGCATGTTTTATTGCTTGGTTCCACTTCTCAACGTTTCTGGCAATTTGACTGTTGTACACAAATGTAATTGACGCTTTAGAAGCCTTTCCACATGTCTCTGGTAATCTGAACTTGCCTATGAGGTGGTGGGCTATCTTACTGAGGTGATGTGGACTCGAGTCCCCACCACTTTGCGTATAGCTCCCTAAAATCCCGGTGGAGTCCCTGAGATACTTTGTTATCATAAAGTGGCTGAAAATCAGGCTAGTCTCTCTCTCTTTGCTATTTTTAGAATTACGTTTTA